AAGCATTTGCCGTTGATCAATCCCTATTGGGATGCGGCACGTATTCTATTTCTATTTGTACATTCGTAATGGCGCTTGAATGCGATGTGGCCTATACAATGACTTGCGGGGGCCAGCCGATGTACAAGTCAGTGTTTTTATCCTCCCAGACAAGTCTGGTACCAATTAACCGACCCCGGAGGGATGGAAGGCTTGGTTGGCCCGGGCGACTCACGACCCAGGATTTGATCCCGGACCGCTCGCGTGGTAAGCGTGCCACTTGCCACTACACCACTTCCGCCCTTTAGTACGTTACGCATTTTATTTCCATCCAGGGTCATGGTGGCATCTTGTGGCGATATGGCTTTCACTATGAGTTGCGGTGACCATCGCTGCATTTGTCCCAAGCCTAGTCTACCAAGTATCACCTTGGAGGTTTGCAAGGCCTGGATAACTTGGACAAACTCGATCTTGGGCTGCACCTTCGGACTGCGCATGTGGTAGATGGCACCTACCCTTATACCAGTTCCGTCCCAATATTGGTTATGAAGGCAAAATAGCCTACTTTGACCGTTACTGTACTTAGAGCCCGAGTTTTTGACTGCTCGAGCATATAGTGCCACCCGCTGCAGTTGGTTTGGGTTGGTCACTGTGAATTCATCGTAACCATCCCTTGATCAGTCATGCATTTTTTCATCGCATTTGTCAACTGTTCGTGCATCATGTGGAGCGGGCGATTACTTCCTTGCGGAATTGGCTGCGGCCTAACTAGCACTCACCTGTGACCAGACACAAAGCAGCTGCCATTCCTGCAGTTTTCGAGAGTGCACTCGGAACGACTCTGAAATCAAGAGTAGATATATCAATCCTCCTGGGAACTTCTACATAAATTATGACAGTAGCAGGCACGGCTTACCTCGGAGCGTACATCATTCCGAGTGAACTGAAATAGCCACTGGTGAATGCCATGATGGTGTTCCCAATTATGAAGAACCATTCATTCGCGAAAAACACCGGCATTACCCGATCGTCGACGTTATAGTTACAGAGCATGAAGAATGGAATGAACAGTAGACGGGCCAGCACAGGAACTATCAGCAGTTTTGGTCCCGGCTGTAAATGAAGCTAACCACATTGCACTAGTGAGAGAAACGAATTCTATTTCCAATGGCTGCCCCTTTTCAAAGCTCAATCTCACAGTGAACTACGACTACGTAGAGATAAAATATAGTTTATAGACGCGAAGTTGTCGAGCTACCAACGTAAATACGTGCTCGTAGTCGGATCGAGGTAAATTGGAGTTCCTTCTTTTCTAGCAGCATGGTGGGCTACACAGGGAGCTGTGAAGAGCTTGTAGCTCGCTCTTCTTCATCAAACTGCTTTCCTTGTGTTTCTCGTTGTGTGTTACAGTGGGTCAAATACTGTGTTAACTAATGGAGGCGAGTCCTGATTATCTATCAGTTGTTGCGATTACTAGAATTCTATGAATGTTCCGTAGGCTGCAGCCGCTAGTAGGCCTGGTTAGGCTGATGTCGGGATGTCAAAGTTGCTGTAATGTCTAACTGAAGTCAAAGATTGTAGGCACTGGCAATGGAGTAGTGCACTGCAGCCAGCTTGGTCGATTTTCACCGTCTTGTATGCTACCTGAAATCCGTCTCCGATTCTCTGCATCGCTCTGCAATACGGCTATGTGTGCATTATGCTAATTGAATTCTCATGTATTTCCTGCTAGAGATGTGGTTCCTCATATCTTTGAAACTGGAGACTGTCAAAAGGGCGATCCTGGCGTGAATTTGCTCCGACAAACTACTTGAGGGCTTCTTCTGCACATCAGCAAGTCATTTCAAATTCAATTAAATATTGTCGAAATAAGCGATACAAAAACTCACGAACTGCACGAAATTAGCAGTTGATGACCCGATTGCCGCGAAAAGGTTGAAGTTGAGGAATGTTGTGATGCCAGGATACAGCTCTTCTGAAAGTGAGATTGAAAGTATACTAGTGAATATGGATAAGGTGATTATCATTATACGAAGTTATACGAGGGGAGGGATCAACTGACTTGAAATGGCGCTGTTCCACGGTTGACCTTTTTTGTTGGGCGTAGTACCCGCAAGTACAGTAGGAAACACGGCAAGAGTGACGAAAAACACCAGAAATATGCTCAGTAATTGCATCCAACTCTGAATGTGTGCAGCATTGATCTATTCCAAAGAAAAATTTCAAGGTGGGAGGAAGCCGGACTGATCTTTCTGGTAGCGCTTCACAGCTCGTGGCAGAATCAGAACAAAAGAGGAGTGCCAGGAGTAACACAAAATCGCTTTGTGCTTTCTTTCAACCAATTTCGCAGGCTCGGTTTTCCACTTTCACCCTCCTTATTGTTAAATAAGAAGAACTCACGTTTTTGAAAGTTTCGTAGAACTGTCGCAAGCTGGGCCGTGTTGAATGTTCAGCAATGCGGCTTAGTTTTCCTTTCCTGACGTAGAATTTGTAGAATTTCTCAAAGAAAACTTAAACGTTGAGATTTAAGATGTAGGAAAGCTGTTGATCACATACCAGTCGGGTTACGTACACCAGCGATACGCCACATAGAATATCAGCGTTGCAAGCTGAGATTCGAGAAATATATCAACGCAACGGTTTTATAGTCGGGTGCGGAAGGGGGGGATTGGAATATGTTCTTTCGGGCACAAAAAACAACAAAGAACAAAAAGACACCCACCGCTAAGAAAGATGGAAGGAAAAAGCTAGAAACCAGTATTCTACGACGATAGAGTGATGTTGACAGAGAGCTCCATTGAACGTAACCACAAATTGGTACCCACTACAAGGGCGTTCGTGTATGCAGCTGGGAAATCTGCTGCTAAACCGAATACTGAATTCTGAAAATTTGATGCCTAGCAAAAGTGAACTTAAAGTCTTGCCCGTTTAAGGAGTAAGTAACCATTACTGAGAAAGCTTTGGCAACTCTGTTTTGTGATTTGACATCCATACGTAAGAGAGCACGATTCGCGCCAGATCTTTCCATTGTGCCAAATATCAGAAGGTCGGAGAATCAGGACAAGTCCTTCTCGCTAGGATGAGCCAACGTCAAAGATTCTCAACATTGAGGTCGTACTTGGCTCGTCGAAGGGAGTATTTTTATTGATTTTTTGGAGAGTTTAGATGTCTTTTTCCGATGTTCAGTGGAATTGGGACTTGTACGGTAATTTTGCCAGTTTTGAAAATATACCTCCCCATGGGTTCATGATTCAGATGAAATGGTAGAAATTTGGGAGAAGAACCTCTGAAGACGCAAATGTGTTCAGCATCCCAACTGGGCAGTCTCAGTCTCATATGGGTGTAATTTGGTCGTGCGTCGCTCAGCGTGGTTCTGCTGTTGTTTGTTGCTTTTCCAAAAGCTTTGCTGGGGCTGATCAAAGAGAGGCACATTGCCTGAATATACACCTCTTCAATACCTCCTTTGAGGCTCTTTGGCCGACCTAGCTGCAGCTCTTCACACTTACCAAAGCAACTAGGCGCCCTGCGTTGTAGGTGAATTGAGATAATTTCAGCACTCAGAATGGTTCTCATCAAATAGATTTTTTCTCCCCTACAACAAGTAGCAGAGTAACCTGACCTGATACAATCCGTTACTAGCGTTCATCACCATGACAATAACTAGCGATACAGTGTAGAACCAGCTCATCGCTGCAAGAAACTTGGCATGTTGTAATTTATAATGTAGAAGTAAAAACTGTGTGTCGCTACATGCAACATGCAAGACTTACCATCCTGAGAAGGGTCCTGAAAAATGACCAGCGCCAGAATAACGGCAACATTGAGGCAGTTCACCGTAAGTGGTCCTGCGACGCGAATCATCAGCGAACCGCTGAACGGTACATTTTTTACAACTGTAGTGATTTTTCAGTTTTCTTTCTTATTGAGCTCTTCTACAACTTGTTACAACAAGGGCAACTTTGCTACTATTTGTAGTGAAGGTTCCAGAAAATCAGTAATCGCCAGTCACTTTGGAGTTGTCTGGAGGGGTTGCAAGGTGGGTACTAAAAGTTCCTCATTTTGCATCCCCTGTGCCACGTTTCTGTTGGGAATTGGAGTTTTTTCTTCAGGATTCTTTTGAACAAAATGACAATGAAGTTCCGTGCGGTGGCCCATGCAAGAGCTAAAATCCTCCATCTTGCTGTCCCTGAACACTCGACTACACATGACGTGAGTCGCTTTCTCAGTTACCTCAGCCAAGGAGGGCCTTTTTTGTCATGTTCTCAATCGTACCTTTATGGTAAGGCGTGAGTAACAGGAACGGCTACTTTGAGAGGATGATACAAGGTTGAGCATATGACTTACCCGATGATTTGTGACATATTTATTATGCTCATTATGAAATTCGGAATCTGAGCGGTGATGCCGAGAGCGCTCATAAAACTTTTGGCGTAGCTCGTTTTGTTGCCATCGACTGTGAACCAATATTCGACATAGTACTGGAAGAACTCATTGTAACCTTGAATGATTTTTTGTTTGCTTTTCTCTTCATTTTTTTGTTCGTTCTCACTTTTATTTCGGATCAGTTTAGTATGTGGCAGCTTGTTTATTTTATTCAGCAGCAGTCTTTCTACTCTTTAAGCTCCTCTAGCGATTTTCTTAGGTAGACAAGTTTTTGAAATCTCAGTTCTGTGCAGAACTTTTATGGGACGAAATCCGCTCTTACACCCACTATCTTACAGTTATCAAGGCAGTTTGGCTCAAGTGCTTCATGCATGAAG